CTGCGACCGGAAATTCGGGTGAGAAGCAGGGTCAGGGAAACGTCAGGAATGCATCATAGCCGCGATCCCGCGAGGAGATTCGCGAAGAAAGGAGGAAGTGGCGGCCGGGTGAGTGAAAGGATGCGGGATCGAAAAATTCAACGGAGAGATTATAACACGATCTCTACGACGCACGGGCACGTCGTATCTCTCATCCCCACCTCTCTCTCTCTTTCTCTCTCTCTCTCTCTCTCTCTCTCTCGTCGTCGCGTATGTAACGCACATCGGATATCTCGCTATCGCTCTTTAATAGGAATCATAATGCAGCGCCGGAATAAAGCCGGTTCCGCGGACGCGTTTGCTCGTCAAACACAGAGTCGCGACAAACACCGACGAGCACGACAATGCGTGGCTGCGGCGCATTTGCGTATATGTTCAACGTTTCAATATTTAGCGGATAAACGCAGGTTGATACGAGACAGAATGCGTTTAAATGAAGATTCAATATTGCGCGTGTTATATATTCATTGAGGGCCAATTTATTTATACGCGGATTAGCGACGTGGTGAAATTATCGCGATGTTACCGCGATTTGCTCCTTGAAAAGCACAATTTCCTAAACAAGCTCATCTCGATGACGCGCTAATGACTCGCTAATGACGCTATCGTAGAAACTGCCCGGCAATTTGGGTAACAAATAATTTGATAAAAGGTGCTTATATACGCGTGTCAATTAAATTCTCCCTTAACGCTACTTTTCTATTAAATTTCCGCCGAAACTCTATTCGCTGAATTTTTCCCAGTTGCGGAAATTTCGTTATGGATATTCAATACACTTTATTATTAATTTCCGACGGTGGACCGGTAAAAGTACTAATTTCATGTACGTAAAATAATGTTTATGCAAATCCTCGAATATCGTTTTCCAGCTTATACATTTTTCCCAGTGGCGGAAATTTCCCTACAAATATTCGATATAAAGGATATAATTTATAACTAATTTACGAATGTGGTTTACGACTTATAGACGTAGAGAAAAGTCATCTATCACGAGATAGGAGTCTAATAAGAGATAGCGGGGTTTCCACTACATTGACAGGCATCGTCTGTTGGTTCCACCGTGAACCTTATCGCTCTTGGAGCGAAATCTGTTCAAAATTCATAAATCGTGTAATCGTTACGAAAAGAGATTTGCGATTGAATTTGAATGTTGAAAACCTGCTACCGCATATTAGAAGCTTATCACATATTATCTCATAATCGGGGACTTTCCTCTATTAATTTCATGTACGTAAGATAACGCTTGTACGCGTCTCGGAATATATCGTTTTCCAGCCTCGCTATCTCTGGCAATGGGCTGTTAAACCGCTCCGATATTAATTACGATCGAAGTGTGCAAACAGTCGATTAAGACAAACAAGTTTTCGCCGCCGCGAGACGAGCGCAGCCGCGCGGAGCCCGGTAGGTGTCGCGTCACCGCGAGCATGTAAACGCACGTCACTCGAGTTTAAACGAGCGTTTGTTCTTGCGCGAGCAAGAAACAACCTGTCGGCTGTACGCAATCAACAACGCGGGGCGCGTTATTTGCACCCGCGTCGCGCATTGTGTCGGGATCTTGGCAAATCTGCTTAAGATTCCATTGACACCTCCCCTCAAACGGCTGACATGGATCGGCGGATTATCTATCTTCGTGCAAACAATGTTAAAACGATTAAGCGGCGGGACGATCGCGCGCGCGCGCGCGCGCATTCCGAAAACCCGTCTGGCGCAACGACTTCCCCGCGCGCGGAATTATTCTACTCGCGGTCGTCCGCAGCCGGCATTCGCGAAACCCGCGACAGAGGAGAGGCGGGAGGGAAAAAGAGAAGGAAAAAGAGGGAAATGCCTTGACCCGAGTCGCGAGCGGGTCTATCTTTAGCCCTACGTCGCCCGACGCGCGATCGTTGATGCTCACCGCTCGGGTATTCGGACGGTATTTCGGGTAGATTCTGGTATTTCGGTCCCCCGGTGTGTCTCGAGCGTGGCACGCGACGGTATCGAATAAATCAATTCCCCTCCGGGGATGCCACCCACCTCCGCGCCTCTCGCGACATTTCGTCCGTCCGCGATCGAGAGGCGAGGTGAGAATTGACCGGCGCGGATCTCGCGCGGGCGCCGGAAAAATCCGTCTCCCTCGACCTTTCCCCCCCCCCCCCCCCATGTCTCGGTCTCGCAGGTGCGCGTCGCGGCGACGGAAGTGCAGCACAATGTGATTTAATCCGTGCTAGTGCTAAAGATTGCATCCCATCGGACGGAGGCTTGTTTGCCGCGGCTCGTCGTTAGTCATTTTATTCAGATGATTAACGGTCAAGTCATACAACTTCCCGTGAATACGCGAAAATACCCTCCGTGTATTGACAATGAGAGAGAGAGAGGGGAGAGAGAGAGAGAGAGAGAGAATCGTTAGAATCGTTATTTATTGCTCTTGGACTTAAATCCCCTAAAGCGCGATGACAATGTAACGGACTGTGACAATTTATCTAAACTGGTATGCAAGAATAGAAATAAATTGGCATAAAGCACTGTGGCGAGAAAAGAAGCAAAATTAAAATAAAAGTGTGCGAGACGTTAACGAAAAACAACAATTACAAATAATACACGACTTAAGAAAGATCATTGGGAGAAACGAGATTAAAAACAGCAAATACATGATGTGACACGATAAACCGAGGGGGGAAACCGCTGTGGGCATTGCGGTGTACAGATTTGCGGCATTACCGGGCACTACTAGGGGCACATCTTTGGGGCATTAGGTCTTGCTGGGGCATTATAAAGATAAAACAAGATATAAAACAAGATAAATGAGATAAAATAAGATAATAAGATCAAGTAGTGCCCACCGGGCATTAGTGGGCATCGGTGCGCAAGTTTTTGATCAGTGGTTTCCCCCTCGCAATAAACTGTATGGAATAAAGAGACAGGGGGGAAGGGGGGGGAGAGAGAGAGCGGCGTGTACAAGTTTAAAATATTTTTCGCACCCGCTTTATCACTCCCGCGCCGGATTTAAATGTCACGGTGGCATAAAGCCCCGATAAAGCCGCCCCATTATGCGCGCGCCGTAAACGGGCATGCATCGCGGAAACGCGATAAACATATATTTCCTTTGTAATGTACGTATCGACGTGCCGTTTTCGCCCGGCGCGCAAATAAATCGGACAATTCGATGGAAGCGACGCCTCCGCGCCGATACGCTTTGCGTAATCCCGATACCCTTCCCCGCTTTCCCCCGCCCACCCCCGCCCCCGCCCCCACCCCATTCCCTTTCCGCGCCGCGACGTAATAATTATTTCACCATATTGCCGAGAGTGCTCGTTAAAGACACGGTAAACAAGTCGTCGGCGGCGGCGGCGGCGGCGGCTTTTAATACACCGTTCGCGCGCGATCGCACGTAACGGATGAATTAAACGTACGTAGTACATTTGCGCGCCGGCGCGATCCGCGACGTTGCGATGCGCGTGTCCGCGTACGTCTCGATTTGCGGCGAGCAAGATATTCCCGGCCTTGGCTACTAATCTATTCCCGCAAAACAGTCGATTCCTCGGAGTATCACGTGTACACAATGACATAATTGCGCGCGGCACTTGTAATTCAATTTCCTCACCCTACATTGTAGCGCTGAAACCGAATCGCAGATTCGCGGCGCGAATCACCGGACGGCACCGCGGCAGATTCGCGAATCCGTTCGTCGTCCGTGCTCATATATTGTATTTTAAGATTAAGAACGAGCCGCGGCCCTTTGCGTCTGGCCCGTAGGTCCCCGACGTGCTCCGGAAACCTTTCGTTTCGCAGACGGCAAATATACCGTTTGAACAATTTCGAGTCGACGGGCTGTTTAAGCGCGTTGATTCCGCACGCGCGAAACGGACCGTTTCTTATCTCGCACATTGTAGATCAGGCCTCGTGCGCAGCGAACTTATTTACGAGAGTCGCGGCTTGAAAAATATATCTCGGCAAACGGGTCGTGTGTCACGAAAGTGTAAGAATTGTGCGCCGCCGTCGTTTCCACTTCCTCGATCTCTCTCTCTCTGTCGAGATATACGCGCTACGAATTTGCACTCGCGCCACCAGCGATCGCCGGCGTTCGGCGTATGTTAAGAGGCGCGTTACTCCATTCTTTGTTCACTTAAGGATTAATCAGTTCCGCGTTTGAGAAACGCAGTAGTCATAAAGTAATTTAAATTGCAGAGTGAAAGCGAGCTGCGCGCAAAACGTACCGGCATCCTATAATTACGCCAGACGAGCGAGGAAGAACGGAGCTATTTTCGCACACAATGTCTCGAGTAGACGCACCGGGCGAATGATCGATAGCCATCGGCGCGGACGGCCATTCGGGCTCGCTTCCGCCGCTCGCAACGAGATCGAGTATCGTTTGCGAAAAGCCGGGGGTGGGGGGAGACAAACCAACGCGCGGCGATTGACCGACGTTCGAATTAAATATCGTCTCGCTACCGCGACAGGTTCCTCGGCCCGGTGCGTTTACCCTCGCGATCGGGGGTGCATCGACACGCCGCCGCGCCGGCAGCCCGGCGCGCAAAAAGTTCCGCCTCAAGTCGGCGGCGGGCGCGGGGCGGGGAGAGGCGACCGCGCGAGAAAGGTCGCGCGCGCGCACCGCGACGTTCTAGAAGGAGCGCGCGATCGTTCTCGCGTAGACGCGAGCGGCGGGTTTTTCCAAGCCGAGAGGATTCGCAAGTCGAGAAGAAGAAGCGAGAGGCCGAAGCGCGAGCGGTCCCCGCCGGACCGATCCCGCCTCGAGTTGAAATTTCGAAACCGGCGCCAGGCTGGCGCGCGTTGACGTTTCGAGATTACCGATCGCTCGAACGACCGATCGATCGGGACGGGGGAGTTGACCGTCGGCCGCTCCGTTCTCGCGCCTCGCTCCCTCCGAGAGTCCCTTTCCGTCCCGGCCCCCGAGCTCGCGAGGCTCGCGAGCGCCGAGGGCCTAACATATGGCGAACGAGATCGACGTGAGTTCGGATACTTACGGTGCGTACAAGCCTTCTCCTCCTTGTCGTCGTCGGGACACTAGGTCACGGCACGTTTCACTGATCTTTCGTGAGGTCGGAGATCGCGGCTGTCACGTATCAAGTACGCGGAGATATCAACATCCGGTCCGAGAGCCTCGCCTCCCGATCGCGCGCCGTTCGGCGGCCCGCGCACTCGAACGCGCCCCCCGCTTGCCTTCTATCGCACCTCGGCGCGTGCTAAACGACGGCGCCTCGCTGGAACGTGGTGGAATAACGAGAAGCGTCCCGGGCCGGCGTCGGGCACGTTGCGCCACCAGGAGTCGGAGCCGAGTCGCGCGGGTCGTAACTGGAACACCGTTCGAGAGTGCTCGGCGCCTCTCGCGCGCTTATGCGTCCGTGAAGATGAGAGCTCCAGGCCCGTCAACGTCGACGAGCGCAGACCGGTCTCTCTCTTTCTCTCTCTCCGTTCCGCTCCTCCCGCTCGCGCCCGTCCGCTCCACGAGCCGCCGCTCCGTTCTCGCGCGCGCGCGCGCTTGCCGGAGGCACCGGGAAAACGAAGACGTTTCGCACGGCCGTGGGCAAGTTGCGCGCAATCGGGAAACCGCGGGTACCGTGTCGACCAGAGCGGTGGAGGTTTTTTCAGCGTTAACACGTCTACGACACCACCAGTCACCGCGGCGAACCAACTGACACTGACAGCGACGCGCGCGGCTCGACTGCTCGAGCGCGCACGCACGGCCGAGTCGCCCCCTCCCCCCCCACCACCTACTCGCCGCGCCCCCACCCGCGCGACTCCGGCCGGCCGCGCCGCGTCGCACCGCGCTGCGCTGCGCCGCGCCGCGCCGCGCGCCCACACGCGCTCGCGGAGTCGCACGGCGCGAGCGCGACCCTCGGGTCCGCGCGGGTCTGCGTTACGTTTATTATGCGACGCGGATCCGCGCGCGGCCGACCGGCAAGGCGACGAGTGTCTTTCGAGCCTGATCTGCAATCTGGCTCTTTGCGTCTAGAAACATTCTATTTTAGATAATTTGCGTAATGACGCGTCGTAAAAATGTGTGCAAGTTGATTACTTGGCACGATCGTGCGTCGCCGATCGCGGTTTCAAGTGAATTGACTTGCTTGTACGAAATAGAATGTTTCTAGTTTCACAAAATGCATTGTAAACGCAACTCTAAGCGGCACGAGGGGACTTTGTTAGTTTTCGAGTCCAGACCGCCGCGCGCTTTTTATCCTTCCGGCGATTTTCCTCTCGCGAGAGCGTCACGCAGCGCGTAACGCGAGGCTTGGGTTTCTCTCTCTCTCTCTCTCTCCCTCTCGTTCGCGCGCGCGCAGCGGACTCTTCGCCGCTCGTGGGATCGCGGATGGTGCCCGAAAGAGAGAGTAGGCCACGACGCGCGCGAGTAGTGGCGTGTTGCGCGATCGATCGGTGCGCCGAGACTTCCGCGATTTTCCGGTATCGTGTTCAGTCGCCTCTTCGTTTTCTGAAATTTTGCGGCCAGTCACACAATCTTGCGCGCCTGGCGATTTTAAAATGCGTCTCGAGTCTCTTAACGCCTCGCGTCCCACGTTTCAAGAATTACGATTGCGAAACACGTTTTGCCACGAAATGCACTTGTAAAGAATTAGACAGGAGCTCGGCTACACGCGGCACTCGGTATATTGCGTACGCAAATTTTCTTTCTATGAGCATTTCGCGTCGCTACAAGCTGCGGCAATTGTTCGCGTACGTTTGCGAAATCGCAGGCCCGATATGATGGGCTTAAAGCCAACGGTACACGATACTATTTTTCCCCCACTGGATTGCTTATGAGAGCCAATCAGGATTTTGCCTTAAGTCACCTGATCGACAACTCTGCACCCTTATTGGTTGTCGTAAACAATCCAGTAGGACAAGTAGTGTCGTGTGCCGTTGGCTTAATATTTTCGGATATTGTGGAATCTGAAATTACGCGACTAATAAATAAATCCTACTCGATGTGCTCGCGATAGATCATTTCAATTCGCATTTATAGAGCGACAAATCGATGGCGTTTCAATCCTTAAAAGTGATCGCTTTTAATTGCACTCGCTGCGTGGCGAAATCACACGCGAAAAGAAAAATGTAGCGGCCGTAGCTAAAAACTGCACGTGGCAATTAAATTGCAGTTGTAAAATATGGACCGCTAATATTTATAGTTGCGATAGATAAATATTTTGCTACCGTGCCTATTGTATCAGGTGCGACAGCAAACGGTTTGCTGTGTTTTAGAAATTTATAGTTGTGGTAGCAAAATATTTTTGGCAAGCCGTTAGCTACGGCAGCGAATATTTTTTTTCCAGTGTAGACATATTAACCGTACTCTTTACACGTCAATCAGCGCACAGTCACTGAAAATCGAAGGTCAAACCGCTGAGAGCATTGTGGTGTACAGATTTGCGGGATTACTGGGCGTTACTAGGCATTTTTGGGGCATTACTTTGGGCATTAGGCCTTGCTGGAGCATTGTAAAGATAAAATAAGATAATAAGATTAAGTAATGCCCACTGGGCATTGGTGTACAGATTTGCGGCATTACTGGGCATTACTAGACATTTTTTGGGCATTACTTTGGGCATTAGGCCTTGCTGCAGCATTATAAAGATGAAATAAGATAAAATAAGATAACAAGATTAAGTAATGCCCACTGGGCATTAGTGGGCATTGGTGTACAGATTTGTAGCATTACTGGGCGTTACTAGACATTTTTTGGGCATTACGCCTTACTGGAGCATTATAAAGATGAAATAAGATAAAATAAGATAACAAGATTAAGTAATGCCCACTGGGCATTAGTGGGCATTGATGTACAGATTTGCGGCATTATTGGGCATCACTAGGCATTTTTTGGGCATTAGTGGGTATTGGTGTACAGATTTACGGCATTACTGGGCATTACTAGGCATTTTTTGGGCATTAGGCCTTGCTGGAGCATTATAAAGATAAAATAAGGCAAAATAAGGCAAAACAAGATAAATAAGATAATAATATAAAGTAATGCCCACTGGGCATTAGTGGGCATTGGTGTACAAGATTTTGGTCAGCGGTTTCTCCCTCGCTGAAAACGGTATAATTATTCAGTGCTATAACTGTGACCCAGCAAATATTCACTGTTTTCAGTGATAATCAGTCCACTGATTGACTTTCAGAGAGTAGACTGCTTATGAGGCAGTGGAGTCCTAAGCGAGGGCATCCTCCCGAGGGAAAAGGATAGTATGAGTTTATTTGAGAATCTGTCTTTCTCTAGTGGGCGTGAGTCAGAGAAAGATAGACCACCCGAATAAATGTGCTCACGTACGAACGACACGCGAGGAAGAAACGAGGGACCTTACGAACTTCCGGGCCCTTCAATTCCACGTGATTTCGCAAAACGGCAATCGAACGCTGCGTGCGACATTATAATAATTCCGAGAGGCGAGGCGAGCATTATGCGTCGCGAAAGAGAGAGAGAAACACAATGTTCCCTCTTATCCCCGGTCTTACGTAACAGCCGGATCAATTACTTCTGCCTATAAGTGGGACAACTTGGAGTCGTTACGCGGCCTTGTTTGCGCTCTTTATCTTCGAAATTGTTGCAATTCTCAAATAGCGACGTCCTTTCTTCCCGGGTTTAATACGTACACATTCGCGGCGGCTCCTCCGCGTTTCCAGCGGCTTCTAGAAAACGGCGAACTATAGACATCGATGTCAGATGGGAGCCTATAGCCGCCTGTTTCTCGTAACCTATAGGCTAAATACGTCCTTCCGCGCAGACCAAGAGTTACCGTCCTACTTTAGCGCTATCGTGTTTTCCGGATTCCCCTCGAGTCGCCGTTCTCGGGCAGTTGTTCAATCATGACGACTTCACCTAAGCGGAAGCCGCGGAACACGGAGGGTAGTTAACATCGAAGCGCCTGATAGCGATCAATTTCGCGTTTTAATTGGTATCGGATCGATATTTTTACGATTCTTTTTACACACAGAGAAAAATGCCCGATTAAATACAATCTGATAATCCAATTACATAATAACAAACGGACATATCCGATTAAATTGTATATCCGATGAAAAATGTGATCGGGTTTTCAATCAAATTTCATCGGTAACTGCATTTCCATCGGATGTATCCGTAATCTAATCGGAAAAATTAACCATCGAGAACACTATTTAATTGGTTTATCCGATGGTAATTTTTCTCAGTGCACTATAAGAGAAACGGGCTAATATTTTTGTACAGAGATATGCAGATGTGAGTTATCAAACGAGATTGGGCGTTAAATTTAGATTAGATACTTGCTGTTTTTATAGATAGACGAAAAAAACTCTCAAAGACAAAGTAGCGAGAAAAACATCGTGCGGCGATAACAAGTTCTTTGTAATATCGCACATGGCTGTTATCTTCATTTCTCGATACGGAGACTATCGAAGTTTGACACTACAAAAATCCATTTCCGATTTTATTACTCAATACAATTTTTCAAATTGCATCTCCGTAAAAAGTCGATATTCCCAAAAGAATCTCACTCGTGGTGTTATCGGCGACGCACCAATGTCGAAACGTTACAAGATATACCGCCGCGACTCGCGAATTCGGATAATGGATGGCTAAAGAATTGCCCGTTTCAATATCATGCGAAAAGTTCGCGACGAGTTTAACATAGCGGGGCAACGAGAGTGGTACGAATAAAACGTAGATTGAACTTACACACTTTAATAGCGAGTATTTACTCTGGTATTAAACTCTGGTTGTGGAAGTTTCATATTAAAATTACGTCATTAAACGCGCAGTACGAGTGCGGAGGAATTTATATTTACAACCGGGGTATATACTTCCGTATCTAGATCCTCCATAGACGTCGCCCTTCCATCCGTAGAAATTGTCAGTGCGGATACACAATGGAAGCCGTGATATCATTCGAGACAGATTAAAATCTGCGGAATGTAATCCCATTTTGTTTTCTTCCGTCAATCCGCTTTCTTCTTCGTACACCCTTTCGCTTCGCGTAACGGAATATCTGTCGCGCTAAATACGCCACGTTTTCTTTTTCTTTCGAATACTCAGAGTAACGCCGCTGCTGACGTGATCTCACGCGTGTTTGGATGCTGATTACCTAAGAAAAATTCTGTATTTACCGAACGCGAGCTTGTATTCATTTTTACTCACACGCTATTCGTATCGTGTGTCGGGTGGTTCTTTCGTGTGCTGTCCCGAGACTAATAAGCGCGAATGGATATTTATGATCGAGGAAAGGACGCGGGAAAGGAGCTGCGTTTTAGAAGGACGACGCGAGCGGAACATCGGGACACGAATCCGCGGAAACGGATCGTGGTTATCGTGACACAACGGCGCGCGTGATGTCAAACTTGATCCACAAGTGGACCAGGCTACCCCATTAATTACATTTCGGAACTGACTGATTTAAATGCGCGAGAGACAATCGTCGCGGCAGCCCGAGCGTCGCGGATTCCGAGCTCTGCCCGCGGAAAAAGAAGAAACTCTTCCAGGGTTCCAAAGACAATTTTAGGTCAAACAGTTATTGCAGGTTATTGACTCGACATCAGATCGTTACTTTCACGTCATAGTGTTGGTCGTGCTTTTAAATCGAAGCGGCGGTTAATCTATTCTCGGACGCGCTATACCGCCGATGTAACAATCCTGCCATTCATCGTTAGGCAAAGAATGTAAGGAAGGG